TTCCTGCTCCCCCTCACTTGCTATGCCTTCCCATCACGCTGTCTTGTGTTAGCACCAACACCTGCCTGATGTCTCAGGAGACAGTTCAGGAAGCAAAATCGGCAGAAAATTAGCCCTGCAAAACGCAGGGAAACTTTCCCACCACTCAGCTCCCTGAATCAGGCCACTGCAGGGTCAGACATGTACCAGTAGCAGCACAGGGATGGGAGGGGGAGAGAGACCAGTCAGGGCTGTAAATCACGGCTGCCCCCTTGGCGATAGCTAGTCACCAGGTCAGATTAGCTGTACCGTCAATCCATATGCTTAATTTATCCTCCTCCTCAGCCAGGCACAGCTTCTGTGCCACAGCTTGAACACATGCTGCTGCATCCTTGGGGGAAGCAGCCCTACGCTGGCCCATGCTTCATTTCAGATGTCACGCTGAGCAGCGGCATACTGCACCAGCTAGGAACTGGTACTCTAGCCTACCATCCTACTGTTTACATTTTAGCATAGGCTTTATTATACTGACCCTATGGTTAAAAGATTATTTTTAAGGTGACTTCAAGCTGGCATTCCATAAAATTTAATACTACAACAAAACTGCTGCCGCCACTGCCTGCTTTCAGACAGCAATTACTGGTGGAGAAATGGGCATGATAATGCTTCTCCCTTCTGGTTGTAGAGGTCTGAAATTATGGCAAACTCTTAGTGTCCCAAAGCTGATATGAAGGTTAAACTCCTACAGAGGACCAGGACCCATGCTGTGGCAAGGACTCCAGCAGATCCCTTCTGCAAGCTGCTCTGCGCATAAGGGCACCTTCTCCAATTTCCTTAAGCAGGTGTCTGCCTAAGAGTTATCGAATGAAGCTTTCTGCTTGTGCTCTGCAAATGTCAAAGCAGTTTGTAGTGCTATCAACTTCACGTCACAGAATGGAGATAATTAGGTAGGAAGAAGCAAGGGTAAGACAAAACACTGGGTGACTGGAAATGGAAGTCTACTCCTAACTCTTGCATCACCCACAACTCTCTTTGGCTTTTCTTTCTTCAGTTTCCACACAGGAACAGTGGCTGCTGCATCACTTCCTCTCCACGCAGTAGTGCTTCATTCCTCAATCTTTATAAAATGCACCAAGATGCACAAGGAGCAGCATCACAACAAGACTCATCATAGCTACAGGACGGAGACAAGGCGGGACAGGCACTGCTAACACGGGGGAGGAAAGAG